TGGAACCACCGGGGCAATCCAGATCTGATTCCGGATAATATCGGACAGAGTTTCGTTGAATCGCGTTGAATCTAGCACTTCTGATTCAGAAAAATCGGACAGAGCTTCGTCGATGCGCCGTGAGATCTAGCAAGCTGATAAGCGTCGACCGGGCAAGCGAGCATATGAGCTCTTCTAGTATAACGCCAATGGGCTATATACTAAGGATCTGACGGGCGAATGGGTGATAAAGACTGATGCGGACCTTTCCTCCTTGGTGAACGCTTCGACACACTTTGCCAGCAGGCTTCCGCCAAGGTTCTTCCAAAATTCTAGCCTCTATTCCAAAATGCTAGTAAGGGGCGGGCTATTTATAGGCTTATGGGGGAAGCCCCTAGTGGTGGCTGACACCCTATGGGTGTCCTCAAAAAATCCGATTTACACCCCTAGGGCTGTCTCGGATTTTCCGAGACACCCTAGGGTGTCTCGGAAATTCCGAGACACCTTGGGGTGTCTCGGATTTTCCGAGACACCCCTAGGGTGTCTCGGAATTTCCGAGACACCCTTGGGGTGTCTCGGAATTTCTGAGACACCCCTGGGGGTGTTTTTGGAACTCCTGAGACGCGTTGAGGTGTATTCGATTGTCTTCGCCGTAAATTCTTCGTCCGAACTCAGATTTGAGTGATTCCAAGTGCGTTGGATGCTTGACGAAGAGTTCGATCCGCTCTGGTGGTTGGATTATCTGTAGAGTGATCGAGGCATGAGGGGCATTGTCCTTTTCGTGAACATCACCGGATTCCTGATTGGCCCGGGTCTTCGTTGTTCCGAAATCCTATCAGCTCACGTAGTTCGTCGATTCACTTCAACCGTTCATCGACGTCAATTGGGCTCCTGTGGATCGGATAGTGACGTTCGTCGTCGTTCTTTAACACTGAACCGTTTGTGGAGACCTATAGGCAATTTTCGATGCCTACAGGGTGTAACACTAAGGGGCTGTTTGGTTCCTTTTTTTTGTGGTAAAAGTGGGGAAAGCTGCCAAAAATGTCAGCTTTTTGACAGTTTTCCCCCAAAATTACCCCTTAAAAAGGTGATTTTGGAGGAAAGCTGCCAAAAAGCTGACATTTTTGACAGCTTTTTCCTCTTTTACCACCCAAAAAAACCTATCCAAACAGCCCCTAATAGTAGAAGAGCAATACAACTCTTTTAAGTATTCTTAGAGCATTTTCCATTGAATATTTTCCATCTGATCCTTGTCATAATTCCCACGTTCGTGCGTCCGGCGTGGATTAGAAGGCTAAGGGTTCGTTGCCGGGAGATTATTCCTAAATGGGACTTAAAGTATATTAAGTGTGGGTAGGGGAACCCTTTCCGTCAAACGGCGTAAAAGTTTGATTAAATTAAACTTTGCCGGATACGGAATCGATTCCCACTCCCATTGGATACGGACATGGTATACCGGATCTTTTTACCTCTTGAGCATTCATCAACGCATGATTTTGCTCTCCAAGTCCTTCATCTTCTTGTCTTCACTCGTTTTCTATCTTCGAGTGGCTTTTGGGGAGAGGTAACGTGGTCTTCTTTTTGGCATTATCATCTACATGACCACCTCCATTGTCCGTTTGTTGACAGGGGGGATAATTGTGTTGACATTATTCCCTTCCCGTTCATTCTCATCCTGATTCTGATGATTGTGTCGAGTGGGCTCTCCTTGGTGAGTGGTCAGAAGCGCGATCTGCTGATCATGCATCCTTCTCATATGCTGCATGGTCATCTCCATCTCGAACTTGAAAGCTTCTTTCTGCGCAGCTAGGGCGTCTTCAAGCATCTTGTTCATTTGTTCGTCGCTGATCATGAGTACCTCCGCGGGTTTGCCCCTCGCTGGATACCGTGTTGTCCGATGCAATTGCAGAGCCGGCATCTGATCCTTCGTCTTCTGACGGTAATCTCGTCTGAACCCTACCATAGCGTCCCGTCGTGTTGATAGTTCGGCCTGCAGATGAGTTAAATACCAAAGGTACCAACGGGGATTGATCGGGATTGTCCCCTGTCGATGCTCCTTTGCTGGCCATGTTGATGGACCTTCGGAATTTTCCGTCTTTTGACCATTCTTTCTTCTTCGTCGTAACGCCTAGGCCTTGTGATTCAGGCGGTTGCGGTGGAAATTCTCTCGAACCTGAAACTCTCCTCGGGGCTTTGGAACAACAGCATTCTGACAGCACCGCCTTGATGATGTTGGCACACGGACAGTGAGGCTCCGTTCCGTGCATTTCGCTTCAAGGCTTATTCGCACCCCCAGCTCTATAGTACAACTCATCAGTTTGATAACTGGAGCAACCTACAGAGTGTTGGTACGATTTCCAGATACAATATTATCATCATCAGACGAATATGACGCTTTATTAGCTTCTCAAGAGTCGCTCGTTCCAGTCTACGCTTTTGTGAACGTAAAAACTTAACGGGCTCTTGAACTTCGACACGCAACCCGATGCGGTCGGTAATAGGGGTTTTCCCTTTGTTATTTTTCTGGGGGAGTTAGAACGACCCGCCAGTCAGGTTTATCATTAGGGGACCTTTCAACGGACCCAATCGCTCCTTGATAGGTACTTTACCTCGATTCCCTGGTAAGGGACCGAGGCGACCTTTCACAGGAACCCTGGATGTTGAAGGGACCGTGTTCATACCTGACCCTACCGGAGGTGCCGGGGTAAGGGGAACGGGATTTAGCTTTGTGAAGGTTGGGCAGCAACATCTTCCATTCTAGGCTTAGGCGTGGTTTCGCCTTTAGCATCCATACTTGCTTGATTTTTGGCGGAGTCTTGACCACCTCTTCTTCTTGCATCTCCTCTGCTTTCTGTAGGAGAGCTCGAGCATGCGCGAGCAGGGCGCGCGTGCTTCTTGATTCTCTCTTCGAGGGTGGAACGAGTCCTCGTGACACGAACCCACTTGTTTGTTTCTGCCAGGGAGGAGGAGTGGTTACATACCGTTGTTGCTCCAGGCGCTGTCTCGATTTGAGATCTTCGTTGTAGCGGACCCCGTCCATAGGCTCCAAAGCCTTGGCCATTTGACGAGCAAGGCGCTGACGCCGCCTTTGGAGCGTCCTCTTTGATACAGCTGGGAGCGCCTTCAGTAGCCATCTTCTTGGGGAGGAGATGCCCAGATCTGCGATCTCGACCACGTTGGGCGACGCGGAGACGCCACGTGGTGCGAGTGCAGCGATGGCTAAGGGATCTTGGGTCTTTGAGCCGAGGGTCCGCGAACGACTCTGGAGGAGGACGCCTTCTTGCGCCTACTTGGAGAGGCGGATCTGGAGGAGGAGGAAGAGAGGTACTCTTCGAACTTCTGCTGATCGAACTCGTATTCGATCTCTTCATTCACCCGGATCTTGAGTGCCGGTTGCGTCACGACGGCGTCGGTAGCGATGCCGTTGGCTCCCACTGTGTGTCGCCAGCTTGTTTTCGGGGAAAGTTGCTGTTTTCATTGCTGTTGAATCTGTTACAACTTCAAGCGTTACAACAAGAATCGATAAAAAGTCGGTCTTTTTATAAGACCTCTCGCTGCAACAAAACAAAGATTACAACTTTATCGAAAATAAACACGAGATCCCGTTTTGGTGCGGTCTCGCTTGCGTGGGTCTTTGGCCTGTGACGGGGACGTCAATATCCGTGGACCACCGGGCAATCAGATCTGATCCGGATAAATCGGACAGAGTTTCGTTGATCCGCGTGAGATCTAGCAACTTCTGATCCAGAAAATCGGACAGAGCTTCGTCGATCCGCGTGAGATCTAGAAGCTATAAGCGTCGTCTATCTCGGCTAAAGCGAGATATGAGCTCTTCTTAGTATTAACGCCAAGGGCTAATACTAAGGATCTGACGGGCGAATGGGTGATAAGACTGATGCGGACCTTTCCTCCTTGGTTGAAGCGCTCGCACCACTCTTTGCTGCAGCAGGGCTTCTGCCAAGGTTCTCCAAAATTCTAGCTCTTTCCAAATGAGGTAAGGGGGGCTATTTATAGGCTAGGGGGAGCCCCTAGGGTGGCTAGACACCTAGGGTGTCTCAAAAAATCCGAGACACCCCTAGGGTGTCTCGGATTTTCCGAGACACCCTTGGGGTGTCTCGGAAAATCCGAGACACCACTAGGGTGTCTCGGAATTTCTGAGACACCCTGGGGTGTCTCGGAATTTCCGAGACACCCCTGGGGTGTCTCGGAATTTCTGAGACACCCCTTGGGGTTGTTTGGAAGTTCTGAGACTCTGTAGGTGTTATTTGACTGTTTTGCCCGTAGATTCTTCGTCCGAACTCGGATTTGAGTGATTCCGGGTGCGGTGGATGCTTGGCGAAGAGTTCGATTGCCGCTCTGGTGGTTGGATTATCTGTAGAGTGGTCGAGGCACGAAGGCGTTGTCCTTTTGCGAACACGCGGCCGTTCCGATTGGTCCGGGTCTTCGTTGTTTCGAATCCTATCCGCTCACGTGGCTCGTCGATTCACTTCAATCGTTCATCGACGTCAATTGGCTCCTGCTGTGGATCGGATAGTGACGTTCGTCGTCGTTCTTTTAACACTGAACCGTTTGTGGAGACGCTATAGGCAATTTTCGATGCCTACAGGGTGTAACACTAAGGGGCTGTTTGGTTCGCTTTTTTTGTGGTAAAAGTGGGGAAAGCTGCCAAAAATGTCAGCTTTTTGACAGTTTTCCCCCAAAATTACCCTTAAAAAGGTGATTTTGGAGGAAAGCCGGCCAAAAAGCTGACATTTTTGACAGCTTTTTCCTCTTTTACCACCCAAAAAAACCTATCCAAACAGCCCCTAATAGTAGAAGAGCAATACAACTCTTTTAAGTATTCTTAGAGCATTTTCCATTGAATATTTTCCATCTGATCCTTGTCATAATTCCCACGTGCATAATTACCAAACCACCGTACGATCCCCCCCCCCCCCTCCCCCCTCCCTCCCTTGCTTGTCCCTTGCTACCCAACAAAAACCACGATCACCCAAAGCAATATACTAATAAATAAAAAAAATTGCTTGCAGATCAAAAAAATTTTTTTTTTACCCAAACAAAAACCAGACACAGTAATTAACTAACTATACATACACACAGCGTGAATCCTTGTCTCCTCTTAATGATGGAATCTCACCATCACCACCCCCCTCTCCAAAAACCCAAGCTCGAAGACGACGACGACGACCGAACCAGAAACAACCCCGACGGAAAACCCCAGCACCCTCGTCAAGACGACGACGACGACGAGCAGGAGGAGGGCCTCGTCGCCCTCATCGCTCGTTAAAGTTGGTTGTGGGACATTGTTAGCTTTTTTTTGACCCCTTTCCGCCTTCTTCCTTTTGAGGAATCGTTCAGGCTCGTTCTCCTCGCACCTTCAGGTCCTTCCAGGGTCTTTGGTGGCGAGCCATTCCATAGCTTCAAGATGTCCAAGGAGAGATTGTTGTGGGCAGGTCTCGAGGATGAAATCTCGCTGACCGGGTCCCTGCAATTCATTGCTTTATTCGAAACCTTTTCATAAAGTTTTCGACTGTCTCACCATTCTTCTGTTTCTCCTCAACAGAGTGCTGATTGAGACCTCAGTGTCGTCATCGAAGAAGTTCGTCAGGAGAACATATCCTCCATGTCGTCCCAACAGCTGATGCTCCCCGGCTTGAGGCGACGATACCAATCGAAGGCTGCTCCGCGAAGAGTGCCAACGAATGACCGTACCATCAAGGGTTCGTTGCCGGAGATTATTCCTAAATGGGACTTTAAAGTATATTAAGTGTTGGGTAGGGGAACCTTTCCGTCAAACGGCGTAAAAGTTTGATTAAATTAAACTTTGCCGGATACGGATCGATTCCCACTCCCTTGGATACGGACATGGTATACCGGATCTTTTTAGCCTCTTGAGCATTTCATCAACGCATTGATTTTGCTCTCCAAGTCCTTCATCTTCTTGTCTTCACTCGTTTCATCTTCGGAGTGGCTTTGGGGAGAGGGTAACGTGCTTCTTTTGCATTATCATCTACATGACCACCTCCATTGTCCGTTGTTGACAGGGGGGATAATTGTGTTGACATTATTTCCCTTCCCGTTCATTCTCATCCTGATTCTGATGATTGTGTCGAGTGGGCTCTCCTTGGTGAGTGGTCAGAGCCGCGATCTGCTGATCATGCATCCTCTCATATGCTGGGCATGGTCATCTCCATCTCGAACTTGAAAAGCTTCTTTCTGCCGAGCTAGGGCGTCTTCAAGCATCTTGTTCATTTGTTCGTCGCTGATCATGAGTACCTCGCGGGGTTGCCCCTCGCTGGATACCGTGTTGTCCGATGCAATTGCAGAGCCGGCATCTGATCCTTCGTCTTCTGACGGTAATCTCGTCTGAACCCTACCATAGGTCCCCGTCTGTGTGAAAGTTCCGGCCTGCAGATGAGAAAATACCAAGGTACCAACGGATTGATCGGGATTGCCCCTGTCGATGCTCCTTTGACTGCGCCATGTTGAGTGACCTGGGGAATTTTTCGTCTTTTGACCATCTTTCTTCTTCGTCGGTAACGCCTAGCTTGGATTCAGCGTGCGTGCGGTGGAAATTCTCTCGAACACTGAAACTCTCCTCGGGGCTTTGAACAACAGCATTCTGACAGGCACCGCCTTGATGATGTTGGCACACGGACATGAGGCTCCCGTGTCTCCGTGCATTTCGCTTCAAGGCTTATTCGCACCCAGGCTCTATAGTACAACTCATCAGTTTTGATAACTGGAGCCAACCTACAGAGTGTTGGTTACGATTTCCAGATACAATATTATCATCATCAGACGATATATGACGCTTTATGTCTCTCTCAAGGTCGCTCGTTCCAGTCTACGCTTTTCGTTGAACGTAAAAACTTAACGGGCTCTTGAACTTCGACACGCAACCCGATGCGGTCGGTAATAGGGGTTTTCCCTTTGTTATTTTCCTGGGGGAGTTAGAACGACCCCAGTCAGGTTTATCAATTAGGGGACCTTTCACGGACCCAATCGCTCCTTGATAGGTACTTTACCGTCGATTCCCTGGTAAGGGACCGAGGCGACCTTTCACAGGAACCTGGATGTTGAAGGGACCGTGTTCATACCTGACCCTACCGGAGGTGCCGGCGTAAGGGGAACGGATTTAGCTTTGGTGAAGGTTGGGCAGCAACATCTTCCATTCTAGGCTTAGGCGTGGTTTCGCCTTTAGCATCCATACTTTGCTTGAGTTTTTGGCGGAGTCTTGACGCACCTCTTCTTCTGCATCTCTCTGCTTTCTGTAGGAGAGCTCGAGCATGCGCGAGCAGGGCGCGCGGTGCTTCTTTTATTCTCTCTTCGAGGGTGGAACGAGTCCTCGTGACACGAACCCACTTGTTTGTTTCTGCCAGGGAGGAGAGTTGGTACATACCGTTGTTGCTCCAGGCGCTGTCTCGATTTGAGATCTTCGTTGTTAGCGGACCCCGTCCATAGGCTCCAAAGCCTTGGCCATTTGACGAGCAAGGCGCTGACGCCGCCTTTGGAGCGTCCTCTTTGATACAGCTGGGAGCGCCTTCAGTAGCCATCTTTCTTGGGGGAGGAGATGCCCAGATCTGCGATCTCGACCAACGTTGGGCGACGCGGAGACGCCACGTGGTGCGAGTGCAGCGATGGCTAAGGGATCTTGGGTCTTGAGCCGAGGGTCCGCGAACGACTCTGGAGGAGGACGCCTTCTTGCGCCTACTTGGAGAGGCGGATCTGGAGGAGGAGGAAGAGAGGTACTCTTCGAACTTCTGCTGATCGAACTCGTATTCGATCCTTCATTCACCCGGATCTTGAGTGCCGGTTGCGTCAGGACGGCGTCGGTAGCGATGCCGTTGGCTCCCACTGTGGGTCGCCAGCTTGTTTTCGGGGAAAGTTGCTGTTTTCATTGCTGTTGAATCTGTTACACTTCAAGCGTTACAACAAGAATCGATAAAAAGTCGGTCTTTTTATAAGACCTCCTCGTGCAACAAAACAAAGATTACAACTTTATCGAAAATAAACACGAATCCCGTTTTGTGGCGGTCTCGCTTGCGTGGGTCTTTGGCCTGTGACGGGGACGTCAATTATCGTGGACCACCGGCAATCAGATCTGATCCGGATAAATCGGACAGAGTTTCGTTGATACGCGCTGTGAGATCTAGCAACTTCTGATCAAGAAAATCGGACAGAGCTTCGTCGATCCGCGTGAGATCTAGAAGCTGCATAAGCGTCGTATCTGGCTAAAGCGAGATATGAGCTCTTCTTAGATTAACGCCAAGGGCTATATACTAAGGATCTGACGGGCGAATGGGTGATAAAGACTGATGCGGACCTTTCCTCCTTGGTTGAAGCTCGACCACTTTGCTGCAGCAGGGCCTTCGCCAAGGTTCTCAAAATCTAGCTTCTTCCAAATAGGGTAAGGGGCATTTATAGGCTAGGGGGAGCCCCTAGTGGTGCTAGACACCTAGGGTGTCTCAAAAAATCCGATGACACCCCTAGGCTGTCTCGGATTTTCCGAGACACCCTTGGTGTGTCTCGGAAAATCCGAGACACCCTAGGGTGTCTCGGATTTCTGAGACACCCCGGTGGTCTCGGAATTTCCGAGACACCCCTGGGGTGTCTCGGAATTTCTGAGACACCCCTTGGGTGTTTTTGGAAGTTCTGAGACTCTGTAGGTTATTTTGACTGTTTTTGCCCGAGATTCTTCGCCGAACTCGGATTTGAGTGATTCCGGGTGCGTGGTTGCTTGGCGAAGAGTTCGATCGCTCTGGTGGTTGGATTATCTGTAGAGTGGTCGAGGCAACGAAGGGCGTTTTCTTGCGAACACCGCCCGGTTCCCGATTGGTCCGGGTCTTCGTTGTTCGAATCCTATCCGCGCACGTGGCTCGCTCGATTCACTTCAATCGTTCATCGACGTCAAAATTGGGCTCCTGGTGGATCGGATAGTGACGTTCGTCGTCGTTCTTTAAACACTGAACCGTTTGTTGGAGACGCTATAGGCAATTTTCGATGCCTACAGGGTGTAACACTAAGGGGCTGTTTGGTTCCTTTTTTTGTGGTAAAAGTGGGAAAGCTGCCAAAAATGGTCAGCTTTTTGACAGTTTTCCCCCAAAATTACCCCTAAAAAAGGTGATTTTGGAGGAAAGCTGCCAAAAAGCTGACATTTTTGACAGCTTTTCTCTTTTTACCACCCAAAAAAACCTATCCAAACAGCCTAATAGTAGAAGAGCAATACAACTCTTTTAAGTATTCTTAGAGCATTTTCCATTGAATATTTTCCATCTGATCCTTGTCATAATTCCCACGTGGCATAATTACCAAACCACCGTACGATCCCCCTCCCCCCTCCCTCCCTTGCTGTCCTCTGCTCCCAACAAAAACCACGATCACCCAAAGCAATATACTATAAATAAAAAAAATTGCTTGCAGATCAAAAAAATTTTTTTTTACCCAAACAAAACCAGACACAGTAATTAACTAAACTATACATACACACAGCGTGAATCCTTGTCTCCTCTTAATGATGGAATCTCACCATCACCACCCCCCTCTTCCAAAAACCCAAGCTCGAAGACGACGACGACGACCGAACCAGAAACAACCCCCGACGGAAAACCCAGCACCCTCGTCAAGACGACGACGACGACGAGGCAGGAGAGGAGGCCTCGTCGCCTCATCGCTCACCGCGCCCACGAGGTCGAGCACAACAGGAACCGCATCTCCCACTACAAGTCTCAGGTACTGACTGCGATCGATCCCGATTCGATTCGATTCGATTTGGATCGCGGTTTGACGAGAAATTTGCAGCTGGAAGTTTCGGAGAGGAGGCTGAAGGAGTCGCGAGTCTCAGGCTCGCCCGCCTCCGATCGCGGCGATCCGCAGCCAAGGCCGCCGCCGCGCCCCAGTGAAACTGGAGGCGGCGTTCCTTCGCCGGCAGCATCTCGTCCGCCTCCGCCGGCGGCGTCTCGGCCGCAACTCACCATCCTGCGGTCAACGTGAGGAATCCAGCTCCTACGAGCGGCGAGGGCCCCGCCGCCGCCGCCGCCGGCCTCCGTGAAGAGAGAGCCTGAGAGTAGACCATCGCCGCCGCAGCCGAAGGCGAAGAAGAAGCCAAAAAGGGTTCTTGGTAATTTGAGTGTTGTGGTTTGCTTGAATTCTGGGGAAAATAGATTTTTTATTATTTATGTATTGTTTGTGTGTTTTGGTGATGCAGAGAAGAGAGAGCATGAGGATTTGATCCCGAGCATTTGCAGTAGCTCGTCGCCTTGCACCATTAGGTTCCAGGGCAGTACTCATATTTCGAGCCAGCATAAGAGGAAGCTGAGGAGTCTTGCACTTAGCCCGGTTAATGATCAAATGTTTATTACAAGGTACTTTAGATTGCTTAAAGATTAACCCTTCTGTATAAAAGAGTTAATCTTGGATGTATATGCGTGGTAAAGTCTACCATACGAGGAATATTCTAGGATAATTCTCGGATGTATATGCTTGGTAAATGCAAATGTGCATTGACTGGTTATCTATCGAGGCTGCTTAATTTTGATTAATTATAAATGAAAATTAAATCTTCAAAACTATTTTAATTAGCAGGTTAGATAGTAAGAAAAATTTGGAAATCCAGTTTTGTTTTGATGCATCGTAACTGCAGTAGCCACTGAAATTATGCGAAAACCTTTCCACTTGTGATGGATGGTGATCTCGTGGATGCAGAAATCAGATTGTAACTCATTTTGGTTGAATTGGTTCTATATATATATATATTTGCCTTAGCTGCAGTTCTCCTACATTCGTATTGGATTCATTAGTCTGTATATACGACATTTAGCCAATAGTTAGATTTTCCTCCAGAAAGAATATAACTAACACTATTTTACATGTAAGTAGCACACTATCATTCTATCTAACCGTTTGTGGTCATATATGATTTTGCAGTGCTTTGGATGGAGTTGTAAGCCTATGGCAATTGCAGTCCAAAGGGTATGTTGATAATATTGTTCTATTCAACCATTTGTTGGTAATATGCTTTCTGATAATTTGTTGGTAATATCAAATTTTCATAGTTTCTTGTACCTTGTGCAAGTTATGTTGGAGGAGGTGAGATTTCTACAGGTAATTGACCTTTTCTTTATTTGCTGGTAATGTGGTGTAGCCAGGATGAACATTTGGATATTGGATACAATGAAAAATAACGGAAGAAGCTTATGCCTAATATTAGGCAAAAATAAATATGCCATGCTTACTAGACTATATAGATAACACATTTATTTTTCTTCATGAGATTATTTTGATTTTAGCTTTATATCCAGTGTAGGGTATGATCAATGATCTAACCTAAGAGATTCATGCCAAAGTTCTTGGATTGTTAAAAAAAACTTAAAACAACAAGTAACAGGACAATAACGAGATCTGGTTCAATTTGTCAATAGGTGACAATCTCATAATAGCAGTTCAAAATAAGGGTGAGGGGACCAGCTTGAGAAAGAAAATTATGGGAGTAATTCATCATATACCAGTGTGGACATGGAAGAGCTGGAATTTGGGGATAGTTGGCAGCAAAAGTTACTTTCTTGTAGGACCCAGCTGTAGGTTTTATCAAACATGTGTTCTGATCATCGATTCATACTATCAGGAAAATGGCAAGTTGTTTTAATCATGACTTGGTATAAAATGCCTAATCAAAATGATAGTTGTGGTCCATATAACCACTACTTTTCTGGTTGCCTTCCCATGTCTCTTCAGCAATACTTTAAGGAAATTTCCTTCTACGGGTGCTGCCTCTTGGAACTTATTGAAGCTCTCTCCCATTCAACCAATTTAATTTTGTCCTTAAAACTTAGATTATGACCACCACCACAGACATCAATATGTGAGCCTTTTCCCATGAAGCGGAGTCGAGTATGGTGACAACTCTGCGTTGAGAAGCTGGCAACATTGTTATGACAGACTGCTATCATGAATTCAGTGCTACAAATCTTTCTGGCAAGTTCGGGTCCTAGGGCAGTATAGAAAAAAGAGGGCATTCTGCAGGAAAAAGTAGACATGGCCCTTAAGCTCTAACTAGCTCAAGGGACACTGCCTTATTTTTATTTTTTTAGATGAGGAGAAAAGTATAACTTGGTTGTTGTAGGAGTCTTTGCATTATCTCTTGTGTTATTGTTGGATGCTGTTAGGAAAATACAGAAGTTTCATTACTCTTTCAGATATGACCTGTCAGGCTATGAGTGTTCCTACTTGTACATTCCTGCCTCACTTGTATGTATCCCTTTACTTGTATATAATACCATACTAGCAATATTTTCTTGATGAAGTTTTTTTGAACTTCTGCATGTTTTCTGCACTTAACTGGAAGAAGAATTTCCTTCACAGTTAACAGACGTGCGCAATTATTTTGCTCGGTTGTTGAACAATCTTTTGGTGGTTGCACCTCATGAAGCTTGTTGACTTTTGATTAAATGTGGAGCTTGACTTTGTCTGCGTTTTGTATATTATCAGTCTGGGTATGATTGAGCATGTTTTTGGCATTAACTAATACCTCTGTTTAAATGCAGGCATAGTGCATCATTACTAAGCACAACTGACTGTTTATCCCCAAAGCAAAGGAGATGGCCTGAAGATATTACTTGGCACCCTGATGGAGACAGCCTATTTGCTGTGTACAGCGCTGATGGTGGTGATTCTCAGATATCGGTTTTGGATCTGAATCTTTCAGGAGACGTAAGAAAAGTTCCTGAGCATTACTTTTCCTACATATTCGTCTGCATGCCTTCTGGATTTAATTTCCTATATGCCGAAACTTTCCTTTTTATTGAGATGCAGGTGCTCATGGGTAGAATTTTACAGAGGTGAGCTTAATGATAAAAATCTATGTTATAATCTAAGTTATTAGCACTTTCACATAGAAAATCCTAGAACATTCTTTCTTTTCCCCTCTATCTAACTTCTTAGCTGGCTGTAGTCCAACCTTCAAAAACGCTCTATAATTCAGGAGACACATATAATTTAAATAAGGTGCTTCCAATAAATTCAAACACAATTATTAGTGGGAAAACCTACCTGATTCATCATGTTGTTTATACAGATGGAACGAAGAAATAGACCCTCAAAAATTTTCCTAGACTTGATAGAACGTATATAAGTGATATTTTAGGCATAGTATTATGTGCAACAAAGATTAAAAGAATATTGTGTGATGAACCAGTTCATTAACTTTCTTGTTTTCTTATATAATGGTCAAAATATTTTGATGCCTATATTCATATATTACTTGGAGGAGAAATATATTTTTCTATGTATTGTTTAAAATAATTTCTTTATTTCTTATCATGTGAAAGTTTATTGCTTTATTTCCTCAATATTATCATGTAGTCGTGTTCGACGTGATATCATATTGTGTTGCCTTGTCATGCAACCTAGTTGCTACTGCAAAAAGCGCCATTCTCTTGGTGCATAACCTGGTCCTTGCTGTCCGATACTTGACCCTCATTACATGACATATGGACCTTGTGAGTGCATCTCCAATCATACAGTTTCCACTAGTACCTATCATCCTTACTAACGTAAGGTACTTTCTGTCATTCTGTACCTTATCCCCGTCTTTAAATCAACCAAAGCATGGGCTTCTGTCATGTCACACCTTATGATCGTGTCATTTCGACATGTTGCACATAATGAATTGCGAAACCACTTATTGTGCACCCAACAGAAGCTCGCCTTCATATTTGATACATTAAGCGTAACATACAACAAAACTGATCAACCAAAAAGAAGCCAATGTGTACATGTTTTTTTACCACTAACCAGGCTTACATTCACATTTATGGGTTTATGATTGCCCAAACAAGGACTTCCCCAGAAATCAACCATCCTAGAATGGCTCCATCCCAGCACACTTGAACTACTATTTTTCTTCCATCTTCATTGTAACCGCGACATGCTGGCACTTTCCTATCAGCTTCCTAACACAGAATCTATGTGCTATTCTCTATTGGGGTCATGACATGACAGGCACCCTAAGAATCCTGAACTGATTTGGTGTTGTATCCTGATCCAAGTTGTTATAAGGACTATGACAGAGTCTAACTAAACACGTTCTTTGGTCAAGAATCTAGTGTGTAGGGTGACCATTAGCGTGGCTCCTCCAGTGAAATACTAGAGGAAAGTTTCGTGATACGTGCCACCATCATTCACAACGTGAATAAGTGGGTAGTTGTATAACTTGTGTTTTACTTTGTGGATAGTTATGTTTTGTGGGTAGCTGTAGAGAGAAGGGTGGTGTTAGTGGGTAGAGATAATATTAGTGTAGTTATATATAGTTGTTGTAATGGAGATGATGATATGAATGAGAATTATTGTTTGCTTATCCTCTAGTTCTTCTCTTTATCTTCTTCCTCTGTTCATCTTCTTCTTCCTCTATCAAATTCAACCTCATCATTGGTATCAGAGCCAAGTTTCGACCATGGACACTCGTGGCAAAACGAATGCCGAATTCCGCAATGAGGTCAATGAAATCTTAACACGACATGAGTCCAGCTTTGATCAAATTAATGCTACACTCCAAATGGTGTTAAGAGAACTTCAAGCTCTACAAACCGTCCGGAGCCCACATACTAATAATCTTGAAACTAACTCATTTGCTCCAGGAGAATCCTCACATTCGCCACATGCTGCTCGTTCTACCACCAATAATGACCATCGTCATCAACACCTCAAATTGTCCTTTCCAAGGTTCAAGGGCGAGGACCCAACTGGCTGGATCTACAAAGCAGAACAATATTTTGATTTCAAAAATATTGCCTCTGACCAACGAGTTCCGCTAGCGTCCTTCCATCTTAATGACATCGCCCTACAATGGCACCAATGGTTGACGAAATTTCACGGACCACTTACATGGGATGAATTCACCAAAGCCGTCCTTCTTCGTTTTGGTCCAATAGACTACGAAGACCCGTCGGAAGCCCTAACTCGGCTTAAACAAGACTCAACCGTTGCAGCTTATCAGGAAGTTTTTGAAAAGCTTTCTCATCGCGTTGACGACCTACCTGAAAATTTTCTCATTGGTTATTTTATCGCAGGACTTCGTGATGACATTCGTCTCGATGTAAAAATTAAGCAGCCCAATATCTTGGCAGATGCAATAGGAGTCGCTCGACTAATCGAGGAACGAAATTGGTTACACAAGCAACCGAGCCAACTATTTCGTTCCCAACCAGCTTCTGTGGCACCAAAGGCGACCACCCCCAACCCAACAGCTGGTGTATTAGGTCCTCCACCTGCTCGCTCAGAGTGTGAATGCAAGTTCAAATACTACTCCGACAACATTCCGTCACCAACCAAGAGGCGTGAGACCGTCGAGAGAATGGTTTATGTTACTATTGTGATGAGAAGTTCATTCCGGGTCATCACTGTAAACATCCACAACTATTCATGATCGAATCCTTGCGGACAAGGATCCTTAAGGGGGGGGGGCGAATGATACATGATACGTGCCACCACCATTCACAACGTGGATAAGTGGGTAGTTGTATAACTTGTGTTTTACTTAGTAGATAGTTATGTTTTGTGGGTAGCTCTAGAGAGAAGAGTGATGTTAGTAAGTAGAGATAATATTAGTGTAGTAATATATAGTTGTTGTAATGGAGATGATGGTATGAATGAGAATTATTGTTTGCTTATCCTCTAGTTCTTCTGTTGTAATGGAGATGATGGTATGAATGAGAATTATTGTTTGCTTATCCTCTAGTTCTTCTCTTTATCTTCTTCCTCTGTTCCTCTTTCTAGTTCTTCTCTTTATCTTCTTCCTCTGTTCCTCTTCTTCTTCCTCTATCAAATTCAACCTCATCATTTCGCTAGGTGTTGGTTTATGGGAGAGTCTTTGTTCTTCTACATGCTGTTTGGAAAAGGTATTAAGTATTAGAATAAGTGTAATGATGCCACTCATAATTGACAAATGACAATTTGTGCAGCAAAATACCTCTATTCAGGTATTCTGGTTAACATATGTAATGATGGCATTCTTCTTTCTTTGTGAGAATTAGATAAAAGTCCATCTGTATGGAGCTATAGGATGTATTTATTAAAGAACTTGGTGAAATAATAAAATAATATACCTTTTAATACTAAAAATCTAATACATTTGAAAATATCTGTATGCACAAATGAGAATTGTTGGAGAAGTAGATGTCAAATTTACGATACTTGCACATTTTGAACCTCTAAACTAACATGTCATACCAAATTTTCTTATTCAACAAACGACTCCATCATGTGATAATCAGATGAGAATATTAAAGTTTAATTTCTCTTTCTTGATTCTTTAACACTCAGATGCTTAAAAAGTTACCTATTAATCTTGACACTTCTTAGTAAAAACGTTTGACTACTTATTTGCTAGTGGTGGGACAATTTAATTATATGAAAGTACTTGTACCTACCAATCAGTCCCTAATGTTTGGGCACAATTTTAATTAACAGACATAACTGTGCTTACTACTTAAATGAAATTTTATCTTTTATTCAAATATCTTCTTGACCTATTCCCTTTTTCCTGTGGTTTCATGTGAACAGAAAAAAGTTACTTTCTTACAAGAAAAGCCTCACCTCAAGGGTATTATAAACAGCATAAGTTTCATGCCATGGTCCGATCTTTGTTTTGCAACGGGTGGGAGTGATCATGCTGTGATACTTTGGAATGAGAAGGATGATTTATGGAAACCGAAGACTATTCACAGGAACCAACATTCTTCTGCAGTAATGGGAGTTGCGGGGTTGCAGCAACGGAAAGTTATATTATCTGTTGGTGCAGATAAAAGGATTGTTGGATATGATTTGTTGTCCGGACGAGCTGAATTCAAGTATCAGATTGAATACAAATGCATGAGCGTGCTGCCAAACCCATCGGATTTCAATTTGTTCATGGTGCAATCAGGGTAAGTGACAGCTTTTTCTGTACTAATCCCCCAATGCCTGTTACAAGGTCATCATGCTGTTGGGAACTCGTGCACTCTCTCCTGAATTTTTATTGGGTAAATTTCACTTACCCCGAAATTGTGGGGGAGGGGGTTTGCACATAACTCCCCTGAGTGTCGTTTATTACACTTAACCCTCCTGCACTGTCTCGCTTGACCTGAACTTTGATGTTCAAGTGCCAAGCATTTGGCAGAAAAAGACAAAAATGGGCCTCACTTTAAATTACCCCTTTATTCTTTCTTTATTTTGGGCTTTATATTTCAAAAAGGGCATTTTAGTCGTTTCACCATTAACAATGTTAGGGGATAAGTTGTATAAAATTTCAAAGTTCAGGAGGGTAAGCGAGACACTTAAACTTCAAGGGGTTATGTGCGCCAATTTTTTGTAAGTGAATGTAAAGGTAGTAGTAGAAAGATAGTTGTAGGGGCATGTAGCCTTAAAAAGGTAAATAGAAACTATAGAAGTCAAAGCTAGGTAGAAGAAGAAGTAATATCAGACAGCAAAACTTGAGTAGAATCTTTAGAAGTTGTGAAAGTATGGTCATGAGCTTCTTTTCTCTTCGGCATCATTAGTCAGTTTGTGGGCTACCATATTGTATTCATGTGAAAAAGTACAGCTTCCAAGATTTTCGTTACTCTTGTAATTTTCAAAGTTTGAAGGCAGTAACCCACTGATAATCATAGCCAACTAAGAACAATCTCAACTAAAGCTACGAATGCTACAATTTGCATTTACTATCTTGATACCTTTAGATTTCAATTTCTAAACTCCTGATGTTGGGTAGTCAATAGATTACTTTCTTGCCTCTACTACAACCTGTTCATTTTTATCCCAAAATCTTTTTAACCTTTAGCATTACAAGATTTTGAATTTTAGTGACTGAATTTGATATTTTAACTAGATTTCCAACATTTTCTCCATGATTCCTCCTTTTTCCTGCGGCACTTACGAGAAGATTAGTAAGGCTGAGACCTGAACACGTTTGAATCGCAAATTTTTGTGGTGTCTCTTAATATCTTCTATCATATTCACGTGGATAGATTTTAAACAGAAATAGGGGACTGTTTTAACAGAAAACCTACCTTCAGCGTCGCATGTACATAGTTCCCAGAGATGTCACAGGACACTCTGGGATTGCCTACTTTATAGATATTCGTGGATCTTTATGGTTAATTGCAGGCCAAATTGCGCATAGACCCCCTGTAGTACCATTGTTGCAGTTAGACCCTCATGAGTGATTTTTTTATTACTATTTTACCCTGAGAGAGAGAAAATTGTGTTTTGCAAATAGACCTTAATTAAAAAAAATCATTAGGGGCCTATTTACAATTGGATGACAGTACAGGGGGTCTACCTGCAATTAACCCTGTTTATTTACTTTTATTCGTATTAACTAGTAGCACCACTGGAATTAGTGTAGGACATCAATGAGGACAAATTTGTGAAATTGTTTATGCTTTTATTTTAGTGAACTAATAAGTTGTAGGGGAGACCGCTGGGAAAGAATCCCGGATCCGCCACCGCATGCCTTATCATCTCCTTGGAAATTTCCTTGTCATTTCTGGTTCTATACTAAGTACATTTGCATACAATTGTGCAGGCAACCAGGGAAGCAACTTCAATTATTTGATATCAGGCTAAGGCAAACTGAGATTCATGCTTTCGGCTGGAAGCAAGAGAGCAGTGAGTCCCAATCTGCCCTAATCAATCAAGCTTGGTCACCTGATGGCCTCTATTTGTCGTCAGGATCAGCTGATCCCAGGATCCATATCTTTGACATCAGATACAAAGCTTCTAATCCCTCGCAGTCAGTGCAAGCTCATCAGAAACGAGTTTTTAAAGCTGTGTGGCATCGGTCGATTCCATTGCTTACTTCTATATCTTCTGATCTTAATATCGGTTTACACAGAATCGCGTAAAAGAATTATGCGTCCTGGTAGAGATCTGTTTGCTCTTTGTATGTTGATGTTTATCTCGGCAGATGTGGGGAATATATTAAAAAAAAACCCCCATTTTGAGGTCTAAGAGCAACTGTCTGCTAATAGCCTAATTCTATTGCAGAACATTTGCTCAGTAGCAGAAAATTTACGTCTTGAATATTTTTGTTTCCTGCTGTATCAGTTAGTATTAGAGGGATATGTATGTACGAACGTGTAATTCTATTGGAAATTTACAGGAAAAGTTTTGTGAATTTCCTGTATTTGATTCTGCAATAAATTAATAAAACTAGAAAAAGAGAAGAATAAATGTATTGTTTTTCCACTTTGAGAACAATAAAATATATTTGTTGGGTATGCCATGTATTTACGTTGTGGAGTGAGTCACAGAGAATCTCTTCATATTTTGCATGATTCACAGAAATTCCCTGATTTTCAAAAATGACACTTAATTCCCTCCATTTCAATTGTTAAGGTTAATTTGGATGCGAAAATCTTGAGGCCACTTTTTTTTTGTTTTTTGTTTTTTTGTTTTTTAGGTGTAGAGGGTATTGTGATTCTCAGGCTATAGTCTAGGGATCATCTTGAGACTATTTCAGTGGAGTTTTCTCATGGACTCTTATTTTGGATCAACTTAAAATAACTGTTTTTCTATAGAGTGTTCATGGACACTCTATAAGGGAGGAGAGAGGTACAGAAAAATAAATTATGCACAAAAATTAATGCAAATCAGGGGGGCTCATGAGCTATTCATTTCTCTCTCTCTCTACTCCCTTATAGAGTGCTCATGAGCACTCTATAGCATGGGCACTCTATAGAAAAACCGTAAAAATAACACAAATCAATGTTTATTTTTAGGGAGATTATAACGGCCGGGACACAAATAAAATGATTTTTGTCCTCTAGTCAATTACTATTATATTAATGCATTTGCTTGACCCCAACAAAATAATAAATAAAGGAATGATCTTATCTTAAAAACAAGGGGAAATTGCTTCTAGTCCCCAATTTCCTTACAACTATTCCACCCCCTCCCAATACTTTTTCAACGCTCCCAAAACCCCCAAAAGAAAACTCATAATTCCCTGAGCCTCAAAACACAAAACCCAAGAGTTTAAAACATGTGAAGACCATAATACACATTCTCTCTCTCTTATTTTCTCATGATGTTACTGTGATGATTTGAAATGGGTTTTGAGGGGGAAAAAAATTCTAGTTCCCTCCAAATTTTTTCAACGGCGTCGACGTCGGCGGTGAAACTTTCCCGGCGTTCGTTCATGAGGCGAAGAAAACTCCGATCATGAAGACGGTGGTGATGAGAAGTTGTGTTGCCAACCCCCATAAGTTTACATATTGTTGTAATTTTTTTTTAAAATCGATGACTTGATATTAAAACAGAGTATGTAAATTTATATATTATTATTATTTCACTGTAATAAGTTTATTGTTAAGCTTATGAGTTGGTGGTGAAAGAAGGTTATGTATTGGTTTTGAAGGTTACGGGTTGGTTGTGAAGGATACACGTTGGTTTAAAAGGTGTTACGCGTTCGTTGTGAATGTTATATATTAGTTGAGAAGGTTACGGGTTGGTTGTGAATGATACACATTGGTTGGGAAGATTACATGATGGTTGTTAAAATTACGGGTTGGTTGTGAAGGATAAGTGTTGGTTGTGAATGTTATGGGTTGATTGTGAATGATACACGTTGGTTGTGAAGGTTATGGGTTGGTTGTTAATGTTATGAGTTGGATGTTAAAGATAAGCGTTGGTTGTGAATGTTACACGTTGGTTGTGAAGGAACTAGCATTTTTTCTCGCAAACCCATTTCAAATCATCACAGTAACATTATGAAAGAGAGAGAGAGAGAGAGAGAGAGAGAGAGAGAGAGAGAGAGAGAGAGAGAGAGTCAGAGAGAGAGAGAGAGAGAGAGTATTATGATCTTCACATGTTTTAAACTCTTGGGTTTTGTGTTTTGGGAGTCAGAGAATTATGAGTTTGCTTTTGGAGGTTTTGGGAACGTTGAGAAAGTCTTGAGAGGGGGTGTAATAGTTATAAGGAAATTGGGGGCTAGAAGCAATTTTCCCTAAAAACAAACACAAACAACCAATACACCTTTCATGATACAGTAAACAATCATATTCATTTAACAAAATAAAATTATGAAAAACTAAAACAGCTATTTAAACATGAAAATTTCCCCAACAGACGTCCAATAGTACCTTAATAACAAAACGTCACCTACCAAGTAAGGTGCATTAAAAAAATAGTACTCAATCATATAACAATCTCATATTTCCCCCTAAAAAAAGGATATTCCCCTTAAAAAAAATATCATCCTCATATTTTCCTTCTCTTCATCTAAAAAGCTTAAAAAAAACTTCATTGGATGCTGCTGACCATAAGATAGGCTAAAAAATTGTTGGGTTTTTGCTTGTATACCCCTTACATCATGACTATTTGCAAAACTACTCCTCAAAGCATCAATAGAGTGGAAAATATACCCCTACAATTAACAAATATTCAATTTGGTTCTAAAATCTTGATTATTTTGTTAGTAAACTTTATATTGCGATTACAAGTTAATTTATCAAAGTTTATGATTAATTGCTTTGAGGATAATTTTTTTTTTCAAAATTAATAATTTGAGGAGTAGTTCTGCAAAAAATACTGAGATCTAGAGGGCATTGTTGCGAATACCCATGATGCAAGGGGGTATATATGCAAGTAACCCTTCCTGTTTTGGGCCTTAACCGTTTTCCTTGTCCTAACCCGGCCCGTTTCCTGCTGTAGCGCGTTCGTTGAACTGCACTCTCCTCTTATCCCTTCCCCCAACGATCCAAGATCCCCCCCCAAAACCTCAATCAATAAAATTCCATCCCCAATTCGAAGCAAAGAATCTCTCTCTCTCTATATATATATATAAATCTTGATCCGCCATTTTCTCCTCTCTCTGGCGAACCGATTTGCTAGGGTTTTACCATCATGTCTTCAGGAAAAGCAGGTAGACCTAGATCCCTGCTACTTCTGCTGGAATTTTTCCAATCGATGAAACCCTAACCCTAGGAATTACTCTAATTTGACCCGTGTTTGATTGTTGGTAGATGATAAATCGAGCTCGTCGGAGAGCAGGATCCCTGGAGTCCCTTTCGATTTGTCGGCCATGCAAGATATTCTCGATGTAAAAAAAAAGCTCCCTTTCTTACGCCCAAATTACGATGAATTATTTTCTAGTTTGGATGTGGACGTTATGGCTTTATTTTTATGAGATTCTGCGTGTGTTTTTGTATTCATTTGTACCAAATACATAGTTCATCTTTTTATTTTGGATGGTAAATTAAAGTTAGATCAAAAGGCTCCTCTCTCTTCGGAAAATTCCCTTGGCATGGATTGGGATTTGGATGACCCTACTTCATAGCCGTCTTGATTGTTCTCGTTCGTGGCTTGGAATTTAGATTATACTTGTCATGTTACACCACTGGCTGAACAAAAAAAATATGTCATCTTGATTTAATTTAAAATTTAGCTAGTATACTGGTTTAGGTTGAAATATGGGTACTTTCGATTGTTAAAATTTTCATGCTCGAATCAGTTTTATGTATTTTGCAATATTTTTTTGTTGGAGATGGTAAATTGAAGGTGGATGGCATGAATTGGAATTAATATGATCATAGTTAGCAGCCCATCTTGACGGTTCTACCTTGAGGCGTTGTTTGACATTCATATGCACCGGTAACTTTATATTTAGAAGGGCTTGTGATGGGTTTTGTTATTTTTCTTTTGACAAGTCAGCTTGTTTTTAAGGATTAGGCGGAAATACTATTTACTATTTTTGGCTACTTGATTTTTTTTGCTGAGACACAACCTTTATTGATTCTTACTGTAAAAAGCATTTTCTTTGGCTGACTCGTACAGGTATCGATTAGTGACTTCTATTAGAATTTTTATTCTTCCCATTGTTGGATGTGTTTATGGTTTATTTGACGTATCATTGATTTTGGGGTCCTGTTACGCACTAACTTGAAACATTGCTATCTATCCCATCGAAGGATCCTTTAATGATATTGGACAGATTGGAGATAGGATTGTGGCGGCCGAGAGAAAGTTGAAGAAATATCTGAAACAAGATTCTGGGCAGCTTAGTGCTTTGGCCTATGATTTTGGTTTCACCTTCAATTTGTATCGAAGATTATAGGTTAAGTATGTGCGAAGAAATTGCACATGAGGACGTTAAGGTATATGCATATGCAATAGATAGAATATTAAGCTAATGACCTTTTGATCAGATGTCCGAAGTGGAGCCACTTCATTAGATTTTTGGGGTTAGATATTTTGGCTAAATTAGGATATAGAAAGCACTGGTCTATTCATGACAGTACTAACAAAGATTCAGGCCTATGGTGTAAGGTTAGATGGCACCATTATCCCTGGTATGTTAATCTTGAGGATTGTAGCCTCTCTGATGTTGGGATTTCTTGTATTAGTGATTTCTTCCAACTATGTTAAAAACTGGTAGGAAAACAATATTTCTAGGGAATACTATCTTTTCAGATATAAGCTATAAATTTCAGCTAACTTATACTCCTTTGTTTTTTTTTCTGCACAAGATTACATGTTACAGATTCTCAAATTAAAAAAAAAAATCTGAGACGATTGTATTGAATTGTTCTTTGTCTAGTTAGGGGATAGTCACCATACCTTTGTCTATATAAAAGGGGGAGAAATGGAGATTATCCATTTTCTTGGCTGTTTTAATCCCCATCATTGCACACTTTTATGTCAAACCTGTAACTCTACTTGTGTTGTACTTAGTTAAATTTATTTTTCGAAGGTGTTAAAAATTAGGAGGAAGCCTCCATTCTTTTGGAAACTTATTTCTATTCCTCCTTAACTTGCAGTTAGTGAAATAAGATATACATAAACTACATTGCTTCCTGCTAATTTGTATACTTTTGTTCGTTTAAGCATTATAGGAATAAGCTTACATATTATTCATACTCAAATTACAAATAATATCTGAAAGACAACTATCGAATGTTATTTGTTTCCTTAGCACCAGTATTCTGCCCATTTTCTGGTTATTTTGTGTGTGTGTGTGTGTGTGTGTGTGTGTTTGTTGGGGGGGGGGGGTGATGGACTTGAGGTGATGTAAGTACCTTATGGAGACTTGTAACCATGGAGACAACTAAAGTATCAAATATATGGATAGATATATAGATAGACAAATAAAGGGAGGGTATATAACAAGGAGGCACATATTTCTGTACATGAGACTTGTATTTATGACACGTACAACAAGTAGCTTGCGGAAATGAGGGATGAAGGGCATGTAACATGTAGCTTCCTATTTTGGTATATATGTTTTGATTTATGATTCTACATATGTGGTATATACGTGCATCTGTACATTTACATGTGAACAGTTGATGTGTGTATGCCGAAACATGTTCATATGAGGGAGAGGAATACAAAGTCCACATACATAAGGGGAAGAGGGAGGGAGATAGGAGTACAATTATGATTTATCCACAGACTTGTACATAATATACATCGGCTACGTTACATTTACATGGACTCGTATTTATGGAGGTTCATCTAACACACATTTACAAGTATGAGATCACCAGATTGAACAATTAGATTTATCACCTTTATTATCACCAGTTCTGTTTGAGAAGCGAAGGGGCCTTCCATTATTACTTGTTCGCCTATTCTCCTCTCTTCTCCGGGAGAAGGTGTTATCTAAACAATTATGTTCAGCATATTTTCCACCACTACTTTTTCTTTGGGAGCATTGTGCACTATCATTTATTTCTTGGCTCACTCCACGCTTTTGTCTCAGATTATAAAATTTAACTTGCTATGGTTCGCAGTAGGAAGTGTCATAAGTCCTTATAGGATCTAAAGTAAACTTGGAACTTGAACTCATATGTTGGATTGTATGTGAAAAGGATGAAAACCGTGCAGCGACTATCTCTACTATGCTTCTCTTTTCTATATCTTTTACTTGATTTATATGGCATTTTCCTTGCGTCATTCTAGGAATAATCAATACTTAAGGTTTTTATTTTTTATTTTTTGCCTTATCCTTTTCAAGTTCTCTAATCTCTATTATATATCTCTTTTCTGTAGCATGTATTTGATTCATGTGACATTTTCCTTACACCATCGTTGGCGTAGTCAGTACTTTAGCCTTTTTTGGATTTCCTATCCTTTCAAGTTCTCTTATAGTTTTGAACAATTACTTGCGAAGTGTTCTAGCTCTCTTAGAACATATTGAGGTTGAAGTTTGTTTTGGTTTGCCATGATGTGTAGGATCCGTCTATAAAAGACTTGGCAGAGCAGATATCAAAGGACCCTGTGTTTAATCAGATGGCAGAACAGCTTCAGAAAAGTGTTCAAAATGTGGGGCCAGATGGGGTCCCACCGATGGATACCCAGCAATATATTTCTACCATGCAAAAGGTTATGCAAAACCCTCAGTTCATGACAATGGCAGAACGGCTGGGAAATGCACTGATGCAGGTAACTTTTCATATGATGCCAATTTGGAATATGTATATCAGGTGATGGCTTATTTGGCTATTACAATGGTTCTACTATGTTTAGTATGCTTGAAAGTTCTACTAATCCAGCTCCAAAATTTTACATTTGCAGGATCCTTCTATGTCCGGTATGCTTGAGAGTTTTACTAATCCGAACACAGAACAGATCGAAGAAAGGATGGCACGTATGAAGGAAGATCCATCTCTGAAGCCAATTCTTGATGAGATAGAGACCGGAGGTCCTGCTGCAATGATGAAGTACTAGATGCTAACACATTATTGATTCAACTGTTACTATCATTGCAGAATTTTCTCCTTTATTTCTTTCATAATTTTTTTCTTAGGTACTGGAATGATTCTGAAGTTCTTAAAAAGATAGGCCAAGCAATGGGAGTGCCCACATCAAAGGAGGCTGCATCATCAACGGAAGTTTCTGGACCCCAAGAAGCGGAAGAGGAAACCGGAGATGAGGATGAATCAGTTATTCATCACACTGCTAGTGTTGGCGATGTTGAGGTACGAATGCTACAAATATGCTCATACTCTTTTCCGTTTAATTTTGTTGCATTCAGGAATACTGTTTGAATTTATTCTACCTGGATGATGATGATAAATGAAGGCTGCAGTTGAAAGCATAGTAAATTTTGGGTATTTCGCTTGGAACAGTTTACCCCTCTATTCTGTTTGTGGCACTAAGCGCAGTAGAGAAACCGAGTAAACACTTGGTAAAGAGAAGCATAGATCATCATCCCAGTCATATGTTGTACATCCAACAGAAAGCAGATATCTTCTGCATACTTTATACAAGATAAGAATTACATCTTTATGCAAACAGAGCTTGGTGATCACACCACAGAAAACAAACACCTTGTATTTGTCCTCACTATACTTGTAATAGAGATTTTTTCCCCTAGCGTTTGGTACAAACAGGCATGGCAAGCAAATTTTTGCAAGCTATTACCATATATTTAGGGGGCAAAAGAAAGAAAAAAAACACACACACACACACACACACACATCACTCAACAGAGAATAAAAATGTACAAAACTATGGTTAGAAATATAATGGCTAAATTACCATATTGGTATTTTTTATACACCTATCTTACCAATTTGGTTTTTTATCTAGCTCCAGTGAAATTTTTGGTTTTTTAGCCAAATGTGCAATTAGACCCACAATCTTCGCCGCCGGCGAAAAAAAAGCTGTGAAACTTCTTTCCTCCTAGCAGCTTTGGCCTCCCGAGCTTTCTCTTCACTATATTTATGTTTGGAGGTATTATCATGCTCTCCCCTTTTCTGTCCCCACAATTACTTCCTTATAGTGGACTCAACATTCTTGCATAAGCTTTGGCATAGTTGTTATCCTTATACTAATGTGCCACATAATCTTTTGGCACTTTCCTCGTGATATAGCACTAATAGCATCCTGTGAGGTTTCACGGCTTTTGTCCATTGGCGACGAAGTTTTGGGTCTAATTGCACATTTGGCTCATTAAAAAAAACCAAAATGCTGCCGGAGATACGAAAAAAAGAAACCAAACAGATAAGAGGGGTGTACAAAAATACCAATCTGATAGTTTGGCCCAAATATAACATACAGAAATGGGAAGGTTTTTCCTTTGAAGAGTTATGTCAAATAAATCCCTAATATGCTTCAGGCTTACAAGGTACTAGAATGAGGTCGGGCTGTGAAATAGATATTAGTTTGGGCCTTTGGTTTAAATGCTTGGCTTGTCTTAAAGTTTCTTTGCATAAAATATGAACAATAAGTTTCTTCTAGCATGGCAAATTGACATGACATCTTAACTCGGTCATACTCAAGAGCATCAACTATTGGGACAGCATTCCCCACTGGTGCATGTATCAACTATTAGGAGGTGAGACCAACCAAGTATTATGTGGTCAGATACCATGCAGCCAGGTATTGTCCTTCTAATTGTGAAAATTGTATCAACTATTAAGAGGTGAGACCAACCAAAGTATTATGTGGTTAGATACCATGCAGCCAGGCTGCACTGAGATACATGGTCCACCATTATCCTCCTAATTGTGAAAATTCATTGGTTGTGCACCCATATTGTAGCATTATGTATGTTCACCCTGGATGTTAGTTATTAATAGTTAAAAGAGGTCATAAAATTAGAAGATGCCATCAATCAACTCCCCTCCTGAGCAATCATGTAAGTCAATCCAAAATGACCACCACTTATTACCTAATCAGCTACTTCTAAATGAACATTGTCCTAACATCTTGAAAGTTACCAATTTTTTGAAATTAACTTTTGGTTCATGGAATAATTTGATGCCGAGGGAATTTTACCTGCTTATGTTTGGCTAGTGCAATCATCAAAATAATGGTTCTTTTTTGCTTGGGGCTCCGTAGTAGCACTGTGTTTTTAATCAGGTAAACTAAACCCAGTAAGATATTATACGTTATTTTTTATTATCTGTTATGCATTTTGATAGTAGGAGAAATGTGCAGCTTCTTTAAGTAAATATGACCTATAAACATGGATACAGAATAAACTTTTGACAAGATACTACTTTTCATTGTACTGGTGCTTATATATGTTTTACTCTGACTTTACTAGAACATATTGTTATGTTCATGGGATATATGTTCATCCTCTAGGAAGAAATATATACTTTCTAGACTTTTAGTGACAAGCTTTTGTATTGCCTACAATGTGCTTCTAATAATATCCTCTACTGCTCGGTAATTCTAAATCTTTGCAAGTTTTGCCCATACACTTGCGGAGAACATGTTATCCTAATGTAGCTATATTCTTGTTGAGTTTCAACACTACCCAACATTTTCAGCTGTCTGAATATTCTGAAGTAAACATTGCTTGTGTCCCAAATAGGGCTTAAAAAGTGCACTTGCCGCTGGAGCTGACAAGGATGAAGAAGACTCTGAAGGAAGAAGGGCTTTGCATTTTGCATGTGGCTTTGGCGAGGTATGGAGAGTTTACTTCTAGTTTCTTCTAATGAAATAATAGTTACACTTAAAAAAATTTGGTTTGTGAATGTGTATTATTACTTATCTGTGGAGAGTTGCAAACATTATAGCAACCTATTTATCCAAATACTTTGGTCCTTATAGGAAATGAATCATGTTTGCCTTGCAGTTTTAGTGCCCATATATCCAGCCTTGTCACTCCCTTTTCCCTGGACAATGATATCAGAAAGCAGGCTACGCCCTATCTTATTTTCTATGCTTGAACTTGTACCCATGTCACAGTTTTCGGTGACATTCTTACTGGATTTTTGCTGTTGCAATTACGATAAATTAAACAGTTTATTATTGCTTTATCTAATGCTTGCAGGAAGATCAAGATCTGGTACTATGTTTTAACATTAATGTAAAGCCAATAATCAAGAATAACTATACGTAATATATGCTGGAATGAAAAAATAGGATTCATGCAGCCGACCCCAAACATTTGGGATGAAGGCTTGGTTGTTGGTGTTGTATACATAATTTATGCATGTTCCTAATCCAATATGCCTATTATATACCTATACTATTCAACTGTGTAAGATGTTTGGTTCTCTGCATATATCTAATGTGTACAGGCTATCCTTGTCTATGCCCCGTTGTCTGAATGTGAAAGGAATGAAAAAAATACTTTGAAAAGAAAAGGAAAAAAAAGGGGGAGGGGTTTATGACTTCAATGGATGCTAGACATGAGGGAATGGATTTGCATTTGTATGCTTCTGTCATTTAAGGAGATTAGATATTCACTAAGTTTTTCTCTGGAAAGTAGTTACAAATTCTTTTTTAACAAGTTTCAACCTGTATGCCGATATTTGAACATCAGATAAAATGTGCTCAAGTCCTTCTTGAGGCTGGAGCTGCTGTTGATGCGCTGGACAAGAACAAAAACACTGCTCTTCATTACGCTGCAGGTTATGGACAAAAGGAATGTGTAGCTCTTCTATTAGAGAATGGTGCCGCAGTGTAAGCCATCAAAATTTTCCTTGTAGTACCTCTCACTAGCTTACTTGTTTAATGGCTTACCTTCAAGTTCTCGTGGTACAGTACTCTGCAAAATTTGGACGGAAAGACTCCTATTGATGTTGCCAAGTTGAACAACCATGATGAGGTACTGAAGCTGCTCGAAAAGGATGCATTCTTGTAATCTACATCACATTATTGTTTGAATGTATGTGAAGTTTGATGCTTTCGAGTTCAGCGTGGGGGCTTGTAGTTATTAGTGTTACTCTTCTAGTTGAATTGTGTACTCTCTTATGTGAGTGAAAAACTTATGATATTTGGACGGACCGTTAGATATACTTGGTGCTTGTCATGTCATGTTGTGAACGGAATTGGTTTATATTCATTTCTCAGTCCTGGGCTGTGCTACAATAATTGTTTGTAAAAAGTTGAGGTCATCATTATCTGGTTTTGTTATGTTGAGCATTAGAAAACTAGTGAAATATTAAGATCTGGTGTCAGATTCTCTCCGAGTCCATGATGCAAAATGTCCCCAGAAAATGATGCTAAAGATTAACGGGTATGAGGCCCTATTATTCGTTGGCAAAGAGTAGCTGGTTAAGCATGCGTCTAGCATGAAATTTCAGTAGTTTTGGTTGTGTTAGTATGAAAGGCAAATCCTTGGAGACATTCTCGATTGCGTTCAGTATCTCTGTTTTGGTTGGACCTAGTTGCAATAAAAACGCGAACCTTTTAGCGGTATGCATGTTTATTTGCTTTCCTTTGAGCTTTGCTACAGGGACCCAAAATATAGGACCAATAAAGGGGACAAGTGAGGTGTCCCCCTCCTATTGGATAATGAGTTGGTCATCATTAATGATGGCCAACTCATTATCCAATAGGAGGGGGACCCCTCACTTGTCCCCTTTATTGGTCCCATATTTTGGGTCCTTAAAAAGATTTTTTCACTCAACAAATACAAGACTTCACATCTATTCTGTGTCAACTAGGCGGGCTTAAACACTATTAACGTTAGTGGGCAACTTATTTTATAAAATGAGTTGTCAGCTCATACACATTTCTTCCATTAAAGAAATGCTTTTGAGGTTCAAGAGTCGTTACACGGACGAATCTTTACAAGCACGCAACTGAACTTGGATACTGATCTTGGATGGAGATTATAGTTCAAGACTAATGGTGAAGTCGGGGATTTTTGTGGGAAAAGTTATGGAGGTTCAGTTGGGAAAACGAAGTTCAGGGGATTCGTCTTCCTCCGGCCGTAATTATATTGGGTCTTAAATCATTATTATTTTGAAATTATTCTCTCAAATCGTTGAAGTTACAATTAGATTTCTTAATCCTTATATCTTTCTTGTTGCTAGTATACTTTTGTTTAAAGGGTTTAATTTGAAGCAACCCATAGGAATTGGAGAATCTAATAGGAATTCAACGATTTGAGATGTCAAATAATTGGGCCTTTCTGCAAATAAACCAGAAAAATGGAGGCGAGGAAAGGAGGTAAAAAAAGGCAAGAATAGAAATGGCAGTACCACCCCCCACCCCCCAACAAAAAAAAAACACGAAAAAAAACACACACACATGTAGGGCTGAGCATGGTTCGGTCCAAACCGACCGACCCGACCCGACCCGATCCGAAAAAATCGGTTTTATGAGTAGGGCGGTTCGGGTCGGTTTGAAAACTTTTCAACCCGAACCGATCCGAACCGACCGAATATAGTGCAATACTACCTATTCTGATCTCAAATCCTAGCCGACCCGTCTCCAAAGAGTCAAAGACTCAAACCCTAAACTCATTTTCTGAATCATTATGTGTTAAAAACAATATCATTATATAAGAGTCAAAGACTCAAACCCTAAACTCATTTTCTGAATCATTATGTGTTAAAAACAATATCATTATATATTAATGTTTAATGCTTCATAATCTCCTACTTTGTTGATATCTTTTTTTTTCTTTAACACAGTTTGTTGTTTGATAAGAAGTTTGATGAAGTTAGAACCGAACAAACCGAACTGAACTGACTTGTAACAGTTCGGTTCGGTTTTGAATTATATGCGATTCGGTTCGGTTGTTCAAATTTTAGTAAAAACCGAACCGAACCGACCGTTGCACACCCCTACACACATCCCAAACAAACCCACCCCCCCAAAAAAAGAGTTATTTGCATATGTATCCCTTACATTATAGACATTCGCAAAACTATCACTTAAATCTTAATATTTGCAAAACTATTACTTAAATCATCAATTTCGAGAAAAAATAGTACTAAAACCAACAAATTATCATCTTGGTGAGTTAAAGTTTGATTAATTTTTATATTACAATTACAAATTAGCGTATCGAAGTTGATGGGTTGATTGATTTGGAATTCGTTTTTACAAAAAATGGTGATTTGAGGGTGGTTTTGCAAATATTGAGATTCGAATGGTCAATTTGTAAGTACCCATGATTCAAATAAATGAAAAAAAGGGCCGACACAACGAAGAAGAAGAAGACGGGCAAAAAAAGCGTCTCGAAAGAGCCCTTCGTCGACGACCCCGTGAAGCTCATTCCCGCCAAATTCTACCTCCACATCCCCGACGCCGACCAGCGCCCATGGTTCCAAGGCGTAGAAAACCTCGGGAAACCTCGCCGCGATCGCTTCAACAGCGAGAAACCTCGCCGCAATGCATTGACAAAAGGGTACTGCTCACCTTCATGATTCCTATTCAAACTTACATAAAAATCGCTTGGAGATGCTGTTAGCTTATCCACGTAGTTTTGTTGTTGTGACACTTTATACCATTTTATTTCGGGTCGATATACAAGGCTCGAGTCTACGAAACGCATCGTTTAGGAGAAGTGATAGGATTATAATTTACGGAGTGAGGAGGATTAAAAGTAGGTATAGGAGAACTTGGTTGTAAGCAATTAAGAGGACGACATCAAGACAGCACTTAGACCTTGACTTCAATAAACTGTGAGGATGTGAAGTCTTGTATTTGTGAAGTCTTGTATTTACTCTTAGAAAAAAATCAAAACTTCTTAGACGTGGATATGACCCCCTTTAAGTTCTATTTGTGAGGATAGGCCTCTATTTTTTTTTTCACTTTTAAACGACTAAAAGAAAGTTCACCGAGGGAGTCTCTCCGTACTTGGTTAAATAGTACGGAGGTAGTGTCTGCACAGTTAGAACTACAGGGGGTCTATCCGCAACTGGGCGATGCAACAGGGGGTCTATAAGATTGGTGGATTTGTGATTCATTACTTTTGTCTTCAGTCATGCTCACATTTGACATGGAGTTAAGGTGAAGTAGGAGGCTTGGTAGGCTTTATAATTTTCATTCCTGTAGTTGCTACCACTGGAGGAACTATGAATAGTTACTTCTTTTTCACTATTGATCTGTGTTTCTTTCTGGGTATTGGGCAGGTAGAGTTCAAAGTGACATTCATATCGGTTTGGTGCTTTTTTTTAGTTTTATTCTGATCACCATATCATCAATTGCCATATTTTGCATCCTACATTCATGCTGAATAAAAAATTTCACGAGTTCACTTTATTTATTGAGCACAACAGGTAATTGTTGGCAGGATGGCTGCTAGTTTTTCCATGATTGTGATGAATGGCGTCAGAAAGAGAAATTTATATCATTTGATTGGTAGCACAGTGATTGGTGATGAGCTGACAACTGCTTTGGATTTGGCTAGACTGCGGAGTTTGTTGAGGCTGAGATATTTGGTTATTGGTACTGTGCATTGTTTGTTGAGGAGTGCTTTGACCTGCAGTTTAAAGTCCTATGAACACTTTGATATGAGCGAGAAGACCGAGGTGGAGTTTGGCACTTCTATCCATCGATTGAGGGGTCTTCTAAGGGGTATTCATTCAGGTATTTGAGGGACTTCCAAGGGGGCATCATTGGGAGGTAATAGGTATGCAGTTTCCTGTATTGGTGACTGTTCTAGGCATTGGTGAGTCACAACCAAGTTCCGTTGGTGTGAAGTCCTAGAAGTCAACAACAGTTGGAGAAAGTGTAATGACAGAAAGGTAACCCGTCATTCTGTTTTAGGTAGGGGTTCTTTTCTGCGTTTGTGCCGAGCTCACGGCAGTTGGAGACACTTCATTAGAGGGAAAACATTAGGGCGACGAAATGAGATGATAGATTTGGTGAGCTGTTCCTTGCTGGAGGAGGATCGACGTTTGATGTCAAGCTTTGGTTTTGGTGTTCGGGCTTCGACATATTTAGGCCATCTTGTTCATAGGTTGTTGTTGTATTGAGACGAGGTGGGGGCCACATGGGCTCTTGGGCGCGTGATGAAAACCGCGTGAAAATAACTCTTGTGAATGCAAAAGAGCTCGTAGGGGCCACGCGGGGTGAAAACCACGTGAAAAGAAGCTACGTGAAGAGATTTTGCGTGGCTAGGCCCACCCGATTAAATTCGGCATCTCAGCTATATACAGCTGAGATTCGTAACCTAGGTTTCGGTGCAAACGAGCGGGGGAGAGTGTGGAAATTGTGGCTGAGTGTTTTCTCTTTTGTTCTTTGGCAAAAAGAAAGCAAAAGGGAGACTTCTGATTGGCGGCTGCAAGCGCGCAAGAGCAGAGGCTGGGAAAATGAGTTTTTTTCGGCTGTTTTGAAGAGAAGTTTTTTGTACAGCTGTTCTAGGATTTTGTGTATCCCCTTTTGAGAGAGATTTTGTGTGAGGGATCTGAGAGTTTGTGAGAGGGTTTAGGTTGTGAGATTATAAACCCTAGTTGTATCTCTCCTCTCTAATAGTAGATCTCCCCCCTCCTTTCTCCGTGGACGTAGGTAATTTGCTGAACCACGTAAAACTTGTGTGATTTGCTATTTGTGGTCATTGTAATAGTTTTTAGGATCCCTCGACAAGTCAGTCCTAGAACTGATGAGAGGAAGAGCCGATATCTCACTTTGTTGACATATTCGCTTCAGATTCTTATTTCCTTGGTGAGAAGGAAATTCATATTGTGATCTTTCTCTCTTATTGTGCACCAGAAACTCTGCCGAAATTTTCGCGGCGCACAACAGTTGTCAACTGCTGTGTTTAGAGATTTTGGATCTGGTGGAGTTGCTTCAGATTTTGGGTTGCGTCGGATGTTTGGTTGCCCGACATTTGGTCACATCGAGGATGTGAGATTTGATCCGATTGCACGTTTAGGACTCAGAGGCTCATTTGGTTATCAGTTGAGAGACTCTGATTTTGTTCTGAGCAGGTATGTCACTTTTGACTCTCAGCAGGTAGAGAGTGTTGATCAGATCATTGAGATATCGCAGTAGGTGGAGTGTGATGCCACTTCACATTGGGTAGAGATTCCTCCACGTTTTCCAGATCATACTACATCGTTTAGGATTCCAGCTGAGGTGACACATATTAGGAATCATGTTGGTTTTGATGCAGATGATGAGTTGGTTGATTCGAGTGTACCTGGTGGACATAGTTCAGATTTGGTTATG